GAAACGCTTTTATCGGATGCAGAGTGGCTCTGGAAGTTGGCAATTTTTGCAGATGTCGTGACACACGTAAATAACTTGAATTTAAAGCTCCAAGGTAAAAACAACTTAATTTGTGATTTATTTGAGCAAATCAACGCATTCAGAGCTAAGCTGATATTGCTCAAAAGTCATATGAATGAATGTAATTTTTCCCATTTCACGTGCTGTGAAAAATTTAGTACAGAAACTGACGAAAGATTTCCCATCATATTTGCAGTAAAAGTAATCGCGGATTTAAAACTAGAATTTCAATAGCGTTTTTCTGATCTTGACATAAATTCAAGGGAAATTCGGCTGTTTCAAAATCCATATGACTGCAACGTTGGCGACGTTTCAAGTCAGTTTCAAATGGAAATAATTGATCTTCAAGCTAGCGATCAAATCAAGAACAAATACAAGGAAGGAAACTTGATCGATTTTTACAAATTTTTGGACGCAAAAGAGTTTCCAAATTTAAAGCAATTGGCTGGTAAATTTATTTCTATGTATGGTACTACCTATATGTGCGAACAAACTTTTTCCAGGATGAAGTATCTGAAATCTAAATATAGGGCAAATTTATCGGATGATCATTTGCAATCATTGCTTATAATTGGTATTTCCGATTTGAATCCCAACTTTGAAGAAACTCTCCAGGAAAAAACCCAGTTCCACCATTCCCACTAAAAATTGCATGAAATAATTTTATAATAATATAATTTAGACATGTTTGTTTAGTATTGTTATATCTGTAATTTACTATAAAAAATAAAATTCAATGCTGCTTTACTCGTAATAAGGTTTTTTAATTCACATATTTACAATGCTTGCCCCCCGCTAATGAATTTAAATACCAAACTGGCCCTCGCAGCAAAAAGTTTGGACGCCTCTGTTCTACAGGAAGCATGGAAGTAGAGTCTGTAAAAAAGATGTTTTTGAGGTCAGAAGACATGCATGGCATAAAACACGGAAATTATATTGGTGACGGTGATTCTAAGACATTTGCAGCAATTCTAAATTTGAATCCTTATTAGGTCACGTCCAAAAGAGAATGAGAAGACGACTCAGAAATATTCGAAAATCTAAAAAGCTAGGTGGAAAAGACAAACTTACAGAGGCATTAGTGAAAAATGCTCAGTACTTACTATGGAATAGCGATTCGAAAACATATAGATAGTGTGGAATACATGAAAAAAGCAATTACGCCGATGAATCTCCATCGATAAAAATCTGCGACACGAGTGTTGCCCACAGGGAGAATACAGCTGGTGAGTGTGGCAGAAACGAACAGTTCTTGGAATGGAGCTTGCACCGCACCCTACACTCCATGGCATCCCGACGTACAATAGAAAATTCTTCATATATACAGGGTGATTTATTAGCTCACCATCAAACTTTGACATATTAACATTTTTTTTGGTAATTCGATTAGCTATCATATATCTAATAAATTTATCACCCTGTATATATTTATCAAGGGATGAATTACTGGAAAGATGTTTAGGTGGCCACACGCAAAACGCAAATGATAGCTTCAATTCCACAATTTGGCGATTAGTTCATAAACATTTGCACTCCGGACTAAGTCATTAAATTGGCATCGTATTTAGCCACGGGTTTATTCAATAAAGGAAATTCATCCCTTCTGATGGTCATGAACGAAGCAGGAATTGTAGTAGGCACGCAAAGTTTCAATTACGCCGAACAAGCACGGCAAGCTCAAAAAGCACTGCTGTAAGCGCCAAATGAAATCTATGAGGAAGAAGAAGGACTAACGGGTACAAAATAAATAAGTAAATTTTAACAAAACTCTCAGTGAAATAATTAATATTTTCTTTTAACTTGTAGTTAATACGAAGTAAATTAATTAACCAGTTTTAATAATTGAATTATACGTAAGGATGTGTTTACGTTGGAGCTGCGATAAACGATAATAGCGACGATACTAGCAAAACAACGAAATTGTTGTCATAGCTTTATATGCAGGAGTTTATATTGGAACGAGAGCGGCGATAAACGATAAGAGCAGCAATGAGAACACCGATAAGTGCTGCGCAAAATGAATTGAAAATGATTTGTCAGAACAAATCTGTTGTGGTGATTTCTATCTTTTTGGTCCCACAAGGGGAATCTAACAAAAATTTCCTTAATTAAACAGTCGATATTCATGCCGACCACACCTCATAATAGCAAAGAAAATAAGAGGAATACAATTAGCGTCGGTCTTATCACCTTAAACACCTGCATATAAAACTATGACAACAATTTCGTTGCTTTGCTAGTATCGTTTATCGCAGCTCCAACGTAAACGCACCCTAATGAAATTGTGATAACATAACCAAACAAAATACATAATATAATATAAATTCAATAAAAAGCAATACTTTTCTGGTCTTTTTCAATTTATTGTCTAACCGCTTTCGACTTACGCTGTCATCAGAGACACTATAATGAGAATTACAATTAATATGATATAAATAAACTTAAAATGAAATACAGGTACTTACAAATATAGATTAGATTTTAGCAACTTATTTTCCGTTTAGTTGTTCATATAAACGGCTTCACATAAAACTCACGTTAAAAGTTAAAATTTACACGTTAAAATACAGGTGGTCCGCTGAGGTATCCGAGAAACTTCGTATATGAATTCTATGATCAATTTTAAGCATAAATGATTAATTCTAATCACTTTTCTCGAATTCCAAACGGTTGAGATATCGAGATTTGAAGATACCAGATCGTATTGATAGATACTAAACAGTAAATAACATATTGCTAGGTAATTGAATAATTAGCCATTTAATTGATATTAGAATAAAATTGTTGACATTCAGGTCATTAATTGTCATCATTGTTATAAATTGTGCTAAAATCATGCCTGCAACTTATCCACATGAAGAGTATGCGGACATGGTTTTCGTGTATGGATATTGCAACGGTAGTACCACCGCCTCAGTTAGGGAATATCAACGACGATAACCAAACCGCCGTCTTCCAGACAAGCAAACCTTCGGTAGAGTCTTCACAACTCTTCGATTAAGAGGTGCGTTCCCTAAATCGACTTGTAAAAGAGATATTAGGCGAAGAAACAATGCTGCAGAAGTGCTTGAGGCTGTTGAAAATGATGATAGTACTAGT